AGCTTTCCACCTTCTCCACTGCGGTCCCGTCGATGTGGATTGGGGGCGTGCTCCCTCTGTTGTTTCCTGAAGTCCACGATCAGCTCCTTCATTTTGATGACGTTGAGGGAGAGGTTATTTTCCTGGCACCACTCCGCGAGAGCCATAGGGATGGAAACGTATTCTGACAAGAAGTCAAAGCATAACAAAGTTTTGGCCTTTGTTGGAAGAGGGGGATCCCAGTTTTCAATTGCTACAACGTTTATTTGTCTGCTCCTTCAATTGCGCGAGTGGCATCGTTTTACAAATGCAGTTACAACCGCATTTCAAACATTAGGCGCAACAGAGCTCTTAAAGGGGCAATGGCATCTTAAAAGGGCAATGACGTAGGCCTACTTTGTAATAGAAACATTTATTTTTTTGAGCGAATAATAATTTATATACAGTTGAAGTCGGAAGTTTACATACACTTAGGTTGGAGTCATTAAAACTTGTTTTTCAACCACTCCACAGATTTCTTGTTAACAAACTATGGTTTTGGCAAGTCGGTTAGGACATCTACGTTGTGCATGACACAAGTAATTTTTCCAACAATTGTTTACAGACAGATTTTTTCGCTTATAATTCACTGTATCACAATTCCAGTGGGTCAGAAGTTTATATACAGTGGGGGAAAAAAGTATTTAGTCAGCCACCAATTGTGCAAGTTCTCCCACTTAAAAAGATGAGAGAGGCCTGTAATTTTCATCATAGGTACACGTCAACTATGACAGACAAATGGAGAAAAAAAATCCAGAAAATCACATTGTAGGATTTTTAATGAATTTATTTGCAAATTATGGTGGAAAATAAGTATTTGGTCACCTACAAACAAGCAAGATTTCTGGCTCTCACAGACCTGTAACTTCTTCTTTAAGGGGCTCCTCTGTCCTCCACTCGTTACCTGTATTAATGGCACCTGTTTGAACTTGTTATCAGTATAAAAGACACCTGTCCACAACCTCAAACAGTCACACTCCAAACTCCACTATGGCCAAGACCAAAGAGCTGTCAAAGGACACCAGAAACAAAATTGTAGACCTGCACCAGGCTGGGAAGACTGAATCTGCAATAGGTAAGCAGCTTGGTTTGAAGAAATTAACTGTGGGAGCAATTATTAGGAAATGGAAGACATACAAGACCACTGATAATCTCCCTCGATCTGGGGCTCCACGCAAGATCTCACCCCGTGGGGTCAAAATTATCACAAGAACGGTGAGCAAAAATCCCAGAACCACACGGGGGGACCTAGTGAATGACCTGCAGAGAGCTGGGACCAAAGTAACAAAGCCTACCATCAGTAACACACTATGCCGCCAGGGACTCAAATCCTGCAGTGCCAGACGTGTCCCCCTGCTTAAGCCAGTACATGTCCAGGCCCGTCTGAAGTTTGCTAGAGTGCATTTGGATGATCCAGAAGAGGATTGGGAGAATGTCATATGGTCAGATGAAACCAAAATAGAACTTTTTGGTAAAAACTCAACTCGTCGTGTTTGGAGGACAAAGAATGCTGAGTTGCATCCAAAGAACACCATACCTACTGTGAAGCATGGGGGTGGAAACATCATGCTTTGGGGCAGTTTTTCTGCAAAGGGACCAGGACGACTGATCCGTGTAAAGGAAAGAATGAATGGGGCCATGTATCGTGAGATTTTGAGTGAAAACCTCTTTCCATCAGCAAGGGCATTGAAGATGAAACGTGGCTGGGTCTTTCAGCATGACAATGATCCCAAACACACCGCCCGGGCAACGAAGGAGTGGCTTCATAAGAAGCATTTCAAGGTCCTGGAGTGGCCTAGCCAGTCTCCAGATCTCAACCCCATTGAAAATCTTTGGAGGGAGTTGAAAGTCTGTGTTGCCCAGCGACAGCCCCAAAACATCACTGCTCTAGAGGAGATCTGCATGGAGGAATGGGCAAAAATACCAGCAACAGTGTGTGAAAACCTTGTGAAGACTTACAGAAAACGTTTGACCTGTGTCATTGCCAACAAAGGGTATATAACAAAGTATTGAGAAACTTTTGTTATTGACCAAATACTTATTTTCCACCATAATTTGCAAATAAATTCATTAAAAATCCTACATTGTGATTTTCTGGATTTTATTTTCTCATTTTGTCTGTCATAGTTGACGTGTACCTATGATGAAAATTACAGGCCTCTCTCATATTTTTAAGTGGGAGAACTTGCACAATTGGTGGCTGACTAAATACTTTTTTTCCCCACTGTACACTAAGTTGACTGTGCCTTTAAACAGCTTGGAAAATTCCAGAAAATGATGTTATGGCTTTAGAAGCTTCTGATTGACTCAAATGATGTCAATTAGCCTATTGGTGGTGTACCTGTGGATGTATTTCAAGGCCTACCTTCAAACTCAGTGCCTCTTTGCTTGACATCATGGGAAAATCAAAAGTAATCAGCCAAGACCTCAGAAAAGAAATTGTAGACCTCCACAAGTCTGGTTCATCCTTGGGAGCAATTTCCAAACGCCTGAAGGTACGAACAATAGTACGCAAGTGTAAACACCATGGGACCACGCAGCAGTCATACTGCTCAAGAAGGAGACGCGTTCTGTCTCCTAGAGATGAACGTACTTTGGTGCGAAAAGTGCAAATCAATCCCAGAACAACAGCAAAGGACCTTGTGAAGATGCTGGAGGAAACAGGTACCAAAGTATCTATATCCACAGTAAAACGAGTCCTATATCAACATAACCTGAAAGGCCGCTCAGCAAGGAAGAAGCAACTGCTCCAAAACAGCCATAAAAAAGCCAGACTACGGTTTGCAACTGCACATGGGGACAAAGATCGTACTTTTTGGAGAAATGTCCTCTGGTCTGATGAAACAAAAACAAACTGTTTGGCCATAATGACCATCGTTTTGTTTGGAGGAAAAGGGGGGACTTGCAAGCCGAAGAACACCATCCCAACCGTGAAGCACGGGGGTGGCAGCATCATGCTGTGGGGATGCTTTGCTGCAGGAGGGACTGGTGCACTTCACAAAATAGATGGCATCATGAGGAAGGACAATTATGTGGATATATTGAAGCAACATCTCAAGACATCAGTCAGGAAGTTAAAGCCTGGTCGCAAATGGGTCTTCCAAATGAACAATGACCCCAAGCATACTTCCAAAGTTGTGGCAAAATGGCTTAAGGACAACAAAGTCAAGGTATTGGAGTGGCCATCACAAAGCCCTGACCTCAATCCTATAGAAAATGTGTGGGCAGAACTGAAAAGGCGTGTGCGAGCAAGGAGGCCTACAAACCTGACTCAGTTACACCAGCTCTGTCAGGAGGAATGGGCAAATATTCACCCAACTTACTGTGGAAGCTTGTGGAAGGCTACCTGAAACGTTTGACCCAAGTTAAACAATTTAAAGGAAATGTTACCAAATACTAATTGAGTGTATGTAAACTTTTGACCCACTGGGAATGTGATGAAATAAATAAAAGCTTAAATAAATAATTCTCTCTACTATTATTCTGACATTTCGCATTCTTAAAATAAAGTGCTGATCCTAACTGACCTAAGACAGGGAATTTTTACTAGGATTAAATGTCAGGAATTGTGAAAAACTGAGTTTAAATGTATTTGGCTAAGGTGTATGTAAACTTCCGTCTTCAACTGTATTTATAAAACATTTTAAATAATAATTACAATCAGGATGTGTCCAATGGTGTAAATGCAGATGGACAAATCTCATGCTTCAGCCTATGTACAATGTATACCCACTATGTTGCATCAGTTGGGCTACAGGTGATGATGCTTATTGGCAATATCACATTTGATAATAGACCCCACCCCCCCATACTCAACTGGTGGTCCGGACCCAAAGCGGGGTGAATACGGACTGCGGGTCCCGACTACAAAAAAATATATAGGTATATATTTAAAAGAAATGGGGGAACTCGTTCGGGCTTTGACCGCTGGTATCATATAAACACACTAGACATGAAAAAATGTGTGGAATTGCAAGAAATTCGCTTTAAAACAGCAAAACAATTATCTGCCCCATGCAAAATGTGTAGAATTGTGGGAAATTCGTTTTAAAACGGCAAAATGTTCTCTCCGCCAACAAGAGGGGTGTGAACAATTTGGGGTTGCGAGGTGGGGGGTTTGTTACTACGCTGATAAATTACAGTATCCATCCAGACCTTTGCCAAATAGGAAATTTGTGTGACCGGACCTTATCAAATAGTACTTGAGTACCCCTGATATAGACCATGCATAGGCTATATAATTTGTACATAATTTTTACCAATATGTTACTGGCTCATTTATGGAGGTGGAAATTTAATTTTAGATTGTCAGCATTTTGTTTTCATTCATTTTAGAGTAGAATGTCCTTTTAAAAAGTCACCAGAACTGAGCTTCTCAGTCCTTCTACATAAAAATGTACAAAATGATAGTCTTTCCTAAAAGCATGGTGACTTTCTTACATGAAAGGGGAGGTTAACTTGGCCCAAGACAATCGATCTGAGATCGACTTAAGTTTCAGTCATAGGATTTTTTTTGGCTTTAACCCCTGGTTACTACTGCTACTATTACTGTTACCACTACTACCCAGTGCTTGACTTGGGCAGGAGCTCATCAGAGTTGAGTACCGGCACCTCAAGTATTCTACCGCTTGAGTTCCTGTTCCTCTTATAGAATATTAGCTCAAAAGTATTGTGGAGCTCCTGTACCTAAATATAAACAGTACCAGCAACCAAAATGAGTACCGCCACCTATTTCAGTCCAATTCAAGCACTACTACTACTACTACTACTACTACTACTACTACTACATAATCATCATATGAGAAAATATGGCTGCAGGCCGACCCACAACGTACTTCTGCTACTAATACTACTGCACTGGAAACAACACAAGCCCACGTATTTCATGCTATGACTTGGGTAAACCTCTGTACTTCAGGAAATACTGTCATAGCATCGCATAGATAGTCATAGACTGTGATGTTGCCGTCTTTGCTTACAGGGTTTTCAATCCCGCTAATCTCATCGCTCTCTCCTCCTCAGCTGGCCAGGATTGTGGCTGTTCTCCAGCAGCAGAGGCAACAGCAGGGTGTCGGAGGGGGCTCCAAACTGTCCCCCTCTCACATGGGAGGGGGAGGCCCAAAACTGCCTATGACAGACTCCCTGCCCCATCCAGGCATGGGGGGCTCTGTGGACCTGCACCAGAAAACACAGGGCTACTCTGGTGAGTGGTGTACACATAGATATGAATGGAGATAAAGGATAGATCATCTCTTTTGGTATTTTATTAGGATCCCCATTAGCTGTTGCAAAAGCTAATGGGGTCCACACAAAACATGAAACATGACAACATACAGAACATTAATAGACAACAGCTCAAGGAAATAACTACATATTATTACTTTTTTTACACAAGGCACACGTAGCCTACATATCAATACATATACACATTTTCATTGCATACTAACTGATGCTCTGCATGTAATTGAGTCATTGTACAGGCCACCTGCCATCAGCTCTAACAACTGTCTTCCTCCCCCAACCCCTCTCAGGGTACGGTGGAGGAGTGAACATGTCTGGTCTGGACATGGGGGGCTCGGTGGTGGGGGGCCAAGGGGGGATGAAGGACGTGGGGGGGCAGCAGTCCCGCTTCAAATGGATGATGGAGGGTCACTCTCCTGCCCCCTCCCCTCCTGAGAGCCTTCACAAAAACGGTGAGACAGAAAGCCATTATACTGTAGTGAGTTTACTGAATTAATTACAGTATGACATGCCAACATAAATATGTTGATTGTCGACCCGTCAGCTGCTTTTTCATCAGACTTTATTTTTCTTCTCTTTCTTCATCTCACTCTCTCCTCTATCTCTCTTATTGTCTTCTCTTCTCCATCTCTTTCCATCCCCCTCTCCCTTTCAGGTCCTATGTCCACCCCTATGAGGAGAGGGGGCTCTCCATACTCCCAGTATGACATGATGGGAGGGGAGGGGCTAGGTATGCCCACACAGGGGGACAACTGGCACCGTACTCCTGGGAACAAGATTGGCTCCAAGCCACAAGGCACGTCCAGCTGGCCTCCTGGTGAGTGGCCGTTCTAAATACCAACTGAAAATGCAGGGATTTGTTCTAGCCCACCACTAACACACCTGAATTGATCAAATCCCCTGAATCCTTTAGTGTTGGGCTGGAGCAGAAGCCTGCAACACCCTGTAGCTCTCTGTGACCTGGGTTAAGTCGATGAGGTGGCTTCTATTTGTTCTGAAATTTGAATCCAGAATTCCTGTTTGTTTGTCTGTGATGTCAGAGTTCCAGCCCGGCGTGCCCTGGAAGGGGATCCAGAGCATCGACCCCGAGTCTGATCCCTACATGACCCCAGGGAGCATGATGGGAATCCCTGGGCCGTCCAGCCTCAACGACACAGAGCACCAGTTGCTAAGAGACAACACAGGTACCTACCTAGACTCAAGCAAAGTTACTCCTGTATCTATGACGAAGTCCACATTCCGAGCACTAGTTGCTAAGAGACTGGCTGACCTGACATGACTTATTACTTAACAGTAACACATTACATAAGTGTATTGTTATATTGTCAGCCCTCGCGTTCTCACATAAAGTCAAGGAAACTAGCACATACTACTGAAATCATACCCATCAATACATGCACCAGTCAGTTAAACATCAGGTTGTGTTAATAATACATATTTCTAATGGTGTGTTGATGCTAGCTAAGCTTGTGGTGTTTGTGTGTTCCAGAACCCAACCCCTCCCTGAACACCTTGCTGCCTTCACCTGGTGCCTGGCCCTACAGTGCCTCAGACAGCCCCCTCAACAACGCACACAACTCAGGTAACAGACTGGAAAACACTCACAGTAACACTGTTAATGTGTTTTGTATGATTTATGACTGTATTATGAAGTCATAAGGTGCCTTTCACCGAAAGTGTTATCACGGTCACTTAATATTCTCCTGGCATTCGAAATTGACTGTTTCTCTGCTTTTTTCACTCATATTCTCTCTCCCTTTTTTACTGTCTCAGCTGTTGTATCATTCAGTATATCAAGTTTAAACTCTGTCTTGGTTTAGTTTTTCTGTATGTTCCGTCCTCCACGTGTGCTGTTATAACAGATGCAGTTCTGACTCTAGTTCATTTCCTGTTTCTCACAGCAAAGTACACAGAGTACAAGACCAGCTGGCCCCCTGAGCCCATTGGACACAACAAGATGTGGAAGACCAATCGCAACCAACAGTCCCAGCAGCTGCCACGCCCACCCCCGGGACTCACCAATCAGAAGCAGGCCTCGCCGTCCCGTGGCCCGTGGCAGGCCCGTGGCTGGGGCAGCTCGAGTGGGATCCAGGAAAGCAGATATGGCCCCGGTAATGTCATAACCCGGTGTTGTGGAGAATAGAGGGGTCTGTGATTCTGAGTCTTTCTACTGTTCTGTGCTGCCCTGCTGCATGGTGAAGTATTCAACAGACTAAATGTACCCGTGATGTCCCTTGCCTTGATCTGATGCACCATCCAAAATGGCACCCTATTCCCTATGGGCACTGGTCAATACTAGTGCACTATAAAGGAAAACGGTGCCATTTGGGACACAGCCCCAGAGAAATTACATAGCTAAGTGGTTAGGACTTAGAGACGATTTATATTTTATTCTGGGTGCTCCAAACTTAAAGTACTGTAGGGCTTATTTATCATTCATTGCTCCAGAGCTACCTGCCGCAAGTACAGAGGTAGTGGTTGTCTAATATTTGGAACTGATCCCTATGTGGTTTGGTTTGGTTCTAGCAGGCTCTGCTTGGAGTGATGGGGGGACCTCCAGAGGAAGCTGCTGGCTGGTGCTCTGCAACCTCACTCCACAGGTACACACACATCATCAAGACTACACACACACACACACACCATTCCTCAGGACAACAGACACACCCACATGCATGTGCACACAAACATCACTTCTCCTTCACATATCCCCTCTACCACACAAGTCATCCCTAACCCATGTCCCTCCATGTTGTCCCCTCCTGCAGATCGACGGCTCTACCCTCCGTACCATCTGTATGCAGCATGGCCCCCTGCTGACCTTTCACCTCGGCCTGACCCAGGGCAGCGCTCTGATTCGCTACAGCACCCCACAGGAAGCAGCAAAGGCCCAGAGCGCACTACACATGTAAGCCCCTCCTCTCAGCCTCAGTGGTATAGTTTTGTAGATGAACAGGCACCAGCTCCATAGATGGACAGACCATAGACTGAAAATCACTGACATTCCATGCAAACTGTCTGGTGGGCTTGGAATGCAGTAATTTCATAGCAATGGGCTGGGGGAAACCTGCTTAGACTTCATGGCGATTACTATAATAGAATGTGAACATTAATAGATAATAGCCGGTGAACACAAAACAATTAACATCCAAACACTCCTTACTCTCTCCTCTCTCTCTCCAGGTGTGTCCTGGGCAATACCACCATCTTGGCCAAGTTTGTGAGCGAGGAGGAGGTCGCTCGCTATTTTGCACATTCCCAGGCGGGAGGGGCAGGGTCCAGCGGAACAGCCGGGGCCCCAGGGTCCAGCGGAGGCAAGGGGGGCCCCACAGGGACAGGCACCATGGGGGCCAACAGCAGCGGGGAGAGGGAACGAGACAGAACCAGAGAAGGAGAGGGCTCTGCCCCTGGAGGAGGTGGTAACGGAGGGGGAGGCGGCAGCTCGGGGCCCGTCAGCTCTGGCTGGCAGAGTTTAGACGGTACAGGAGGCTCCCTGGATCCTACCCCCACCCAGGGGCCCGGCCTGAGTATGTTTGCCCAGTGGAGCAGCAACGGTGCTGGGGGAGGAGGGGTGGCTGGGGGTGTGGAGCCCGGTAGACAGGGTTTGTGGGGAGGGATGGGGGGTGGAGGGTACCCCAGCAGTAGTATGTGGGGGTCCCCTGCCATGGAGGATCGACACCAGATGGGGAGTCCTGCTGCTCTGCTGCCTGGAGACCTACTAGGCGGAGGGGCTGACTCTATCTGAATGACCACACCTAATACATGAACACATACATTACGAAAAAACATGCACTTACACAAATTCTCTCTCACACATACACCCAGTGGTCAGTTTATTAGGTACACCCATCTAGTACCGGGTCAAACCCCCCTTTGCCTTCAGAACAGCCTGAATTCTTCAGGGCATGGAAATGTTGCTCAATTGGTATCTAGGGACCTAACGTGTGCCAGGAAAACATTCCCCACCATTACACCACCGCCACTAGCCTGTACCGTTGACATCAGGCAGGATGGGGCCATGGACTCATGCTGTTTACGCCAAATCCTGACTCTGCCATCAGCATGACGCAACAGGAACCGAGATTCGTCGGACCTTTTACATTTTAGTCATTTAGCAGATGCTCTTTTTTCCAGAGCGACTTACAGTTAGTGAGATCATACAATGTTAGTTTTTTCTTCTTTTTTTCATACTGGCCCCCCGTGGGAATCGAACCCACAACCCTGGCGTTGCAAACGCCATGCTCTACCAACTGAGCTACACGGGACCAGGCAATGTTTTTCCACTCCTCAATTGTCCAGTGTTGGTGATCGTGTGCCCACTGGAGCCGCTTCTTCTTGTTTTTAGCTTATAGGAGTGAAACCCGGTGTGGTCATCTGCTGCAATAGCCCATCTGTGACAAAGACCGACGAGTTGTGTGTTCCAAGATGCCATTCTGCACACCACTGTTGTACTGCGCCATTATTTGCCTGTTTGTGGGCACCTGTTAGCTTGCACTATTCTTGCCATTCTCCTTCGACCTCTCGTCTATGAGCTGTTTTCGCCCACAGGACTGCCGCTGACTGGATGTTTTTTGTTAGTCGCACCATTCTCGGTAAACCTTACACTGTCGTGTGTGAAAAGCCCAGGAGGCCAGCCGTTTCTTTGATACTGGAACCGGTACGCCCAGCACCGACAATCATACCACGCTCAAAGTCGCTAAGGCCACTCGTTTTGACCATTCTAGCGTTCAATCGAACAGTAACTGAATGCCTCGATGCCCGTCTGCCTGCTATATATAGCAAGCCGCGGCCACGTGACTCACTGTCTGTAGGAGCGAACAATTTTCGTGAACGAGCTGGTGTAATTTATAAACTGGCCTCTGAGTGTATATACATTAACACACAGATTAAATTAGTTCATACTAAACTGGTCACACATGCAGGTCCACTGACGTTAACTCTCACACACATTGTGTCATGAATAGACAGTGACATGCAACACTACACACACAGTCACACACACATAATCACACACACATACATTCGCACACCTTTTACCCTTAAATGAAGACTTCAACAGCAAGACTTGAACAGACAAAGGTGGAATCTGTTGGACTGACACAGACTCAACTGGATGACTCTTTTTTTTCTTCACCCATGTAATAAAAAAACAGAACTCACACTTTGAGCATACTGAGACCCTATCACTCAGGCATGCACTGTAGAGAAACCAACAATGTGACAACACATGGAGGTCTTCCTATGTGATGTGTAACAACAACGTATTACAACAACTCTCTACTACACAAACCTACAGGACGTTACAGCACGAGCCAGTTGGGTTTACCAACCTGGCCAAACCCGTTCTGACATTCGGAATCACCTTCTCTCTATTTCTCACCAGTTACACACTGCTCTGATGTTTAACAAGCAAAAATGTATCTTCTTGTATGTCATTTTTTCCTGTTTGTAAAAAGAATTGTGGAACAGTGGAAAAATCCAAGATGTCTTTACTCTCTTTTTGTTTTCCCTTCAAAATGCTGACCTCGTTATATATTTTTTCTTACTCAATCAAGTTGGTTATTATAATGTCATGCTGATGATGATGACTGATCACTTATTACTAGCTGTACAATGTGCCCTCCTGCCTGCCTGCCTGCCTGCCTGCCTGCCTGTGTGAATGTGCTAGGAGTGACAGTATGTAGGAGATGATGATATTGTGAGGCTGTGGGCGCGATCCACATCTAAGGCGAGGCGATGCAACAACCAATGGTTGCGTGCCACGTCATCGACTGACAAATTGCTATAACCGATGATGTGGTTAGCTGATACATAAAATACCTAGCCAGGCATTGTAAGATCAGTCAGGCTTCAGCAGACTCTAAGCATAGGAACGCGCCCTGTGTCTGTCGTTGCTGTGGTGAATGTGTTTTTGTCAATGAGAGGTTCATGATTAACAAGCGTATTCATGATTAACAAGTGCGCGATTGTGTGTGTGAGAGAGAGTGTGTGTGTGTCTGCAAACACTTGGAGGGCGGAATTTTTTTACATCAGGTGTTCCGTGTGTATGTACTTGATGCAAGTGTCTGCGTGTGTATGGGTGTGTAGATGGAAAGTTCAAGAACATAGGCACTAATGCATATTTCTCTTAAGTTGTGGTTTTAGCAGCATTTTGTTTTTGTCTGAATTGCAATAATATTTTTTTTTTAAGAAGCAAACAACTGAAGGCATTCATATTAAGATGCCAAAACCTACCATACCAAGCTGAGCTGGAGCGGTGTTTTGCAAACACGTTAAAGTTACCAATTGTTTTATTTTTTGTTGTTTATCAATTTAAATTAAGGCGGGCTTTATCACTCCTGTTCAGGTTCTTTTTGTTTGTTTTCAGATTTTACAAAGGAGGTAATTAATTTAAGCAAACAACACAATAAAGGTTGAATTCAACTCTTGGGTTGTCATTGTTACATTTTAAAACCACACCACTACTTCAGTGACAGATTGTCCTTTACTGAACATCATGGCTCCTTTGTAAGCCTTTACCTCGCTCATTTTCAGAGTATTCAGGTCCTTATCTCAACAACATAAAGTTGAAATGTCTATAGATGTGTTTATACTTATGTGATCCAGTGTCATGTAAGTGGGTATTCACTTCATAACACCTTGATCATATAATAGGAAGGAGGCATGTGCGATTTTTATCACAATCTCTTACAATAGGTTGAGTTTGGTGGTGCATTGCAAAGCTCCATTCATACTGCTGTAAAATGTTGAAGATTTGTTTTTCTCCATATAAGACTTATTTGCAGAAGCAGCAGCTAGTCTTCCTGGGGTCCACAAGAAAAACACAAAACATGACAAGTAACAAAACGTCGATGGACCAGGACAGTCACACATTTTAAATATGATATACAAACAATACAAAAAAATAATACAATCAACTAAAAATAGCATCTGTGTGTGCATGTCCCCTCACAGTCCCCGCCGTTCCCCGGACCCACTCCAATTCGTATACCGCCCAACAGATCCACAGATGACGCCATCTCTATTGCACTCCACACTGCCCTTTCCCACCTGGACAAAAGGAACACCTATGTGAGAATGGTGTTCATTGACTACAGCTTGGTGTTCATTGACTACAGCTTAGTGTTCAACACCAGAGTGCCCTCCGAGCTCATCACTAAACTAATGGATTAAACACCTATGCAACAGGATCCTGGACTTCCTAACGGGCCTCTCGGGTGAGTGCTTAGTCCCCTCCTATACTCCCTTTTCACCCACGACTTCGTGGTCACGCACAACTCCAACACCACAATTAAGTTTGCCGATGACACGACGGTGGTAGGCCAGATCACCGACGGCGATGAGACCGGTTACAGGGAGGAAGTCATAGAGCTGGCAGTGTGGTGCCAGGACAACAACCTCTCCCGCAACATCGCGGACTACAGGAAACGGAGGGCCGAGCACGCCCCCATTCACATCAACAGGGCTGTAGTGGAGTGGGTTGAGAGATTCAAGTTCCTCTGTGTCCACATCACTATCATGGTCCAAACACATCAACACAGTCGTGAAGAGGGCACGACAACGCCTCTTCCCCTTCGGGAGGCTGAAAAGATTTGGCATGGGCCCTCAGATCCTAAAAGGTTCTACAGCTGCACCATTGAGAGCATCTTGACTGGCTGCATCACCGCTTGGTATGGCAACTGCTTGACATCCGACCTGGTGGCTTATCATTATTGATGGAGAACAATAGTTTTTCCACCTCTCCCATACTAACTTAAACAAATTTAAGAACGCAATCCTTCTCTTTCATGTTTTATTTTAAAAAATATGATGGTTCACTGTTCAGTGATGTCATTTCACTTCTGAGTGTTTCCACTTTACTAGTGAAGTAATCATTGAAATGATTGGCAATATCGAAAGGTTTTGTTATAAATGACCAACTTCAATGAATGATGGAGATTAATTGGGTTTTCTGCCCGTTATATAATTTAGTATTTTTCCATTGTGTTTTATGTAATTTATCTTGGTTTGGCAATGTAATTTCATATTATTTTTCTTAAGATTAGTCACAAAATGTCTCGATTTACAGGATGTCAATCAGCTGAGCAGCCTGACTTGTTTGCATCACTCTTTGAACCATACTATTTCTCAATTCATCATCAATCCAGGGGACTCTTAACAGTTCTCACAGTGAATTTCTTAACAGGTGCATGCTTGTCAACAATTGACATGAATAATTTTACAAATACTTCCAGTGCTGCATTTGGATTCACTTCCTCATACACATCAGACCAACATGTTCAACAAAAGAGTCCTGAGAAAACATTTTGTGTGATCTCTTATAAATTACTTTAGGCCCGACCATTGGCACTTTGGCTTTCCTTGTTATTGCCACAATATTATGGTCACTACAGCCAATGGGAACTGATATTGCTTTGGAGCAAAGCTCTGCAGCATTAGTGAAGATATGATCAATACAAGTGGATGTTACAAATCCAACACTATTGGTATGCACTCTAGTTGGTTGAGTGATAAACTGGGTCATATTACAGGCATTAGTCACAGTTGGAGGCATCCTTTTGAGAGGACTGCTAGTTGCTACACAGTCAATGTTCAGGTCACCCAGAAAATAGACCTCTGTTAACATTACACACACACTATCAAAAGTTGCACACATATTATCCAAATACTGACTGTTAGCACTTGGTGGCCTATAACAGCAACCCAAAGGAAGAGGCTTTAGATGAGGCAGGTGAACTTGCAACC